TTTGTAGTGTCATCCTGCATTTTCATGATAAACTCTAACATAATATTACTAATAATATATATAATAACTATATATGATACGTTATAATAACTATAAATGATATAGATATAAATATTATAGATTATTATACACTAATAATTTATTATAATATTATGTAATTTACAAAATATTTCTATATGATATCACTAATAATATATATAATAACTATATATGATACATTATAATAACTATAAACAATATAGATGTTATGGATTAATATATACTAGTAATTTATAATAATATTATGTAATTTATAATATACTTCTACTACACTGCGACCATTTTCAATAGGCGCATGTGGATTATGTCTTAAAAACGTACTTAACTTTATTTTTATAGTGTGTTTCAATAAATTATAAATAAAGTATCAAAAAATAATGAAAATTATCAAAAAATAATATCAAATTTGAAATGAGGTCAATCATAAATGAATTAAATTCAAAAGATAGCTGACTATTTTCTATAGACGCAGTTCACATTTTTTAACTAAACTATCAAAAAAAAAAAATTTTTATCACATTTTTAGTTCTCGATTGGACTTCCTTTGCGCTCAATTACTTGATAAATTTGTTTTGGCATACCTCTCACCAAGTTTTCCAGCACCTTTGGCTCCATATCCTCCCAGCATTCTGATACCGCTACGTTTAGCTCTGTCACAGAGTTATATTGCTTCTGGTCAGCATATATACGTCTTACAATAATTTCCCAGATATTTTTAACAGGATTCAAATCTGGACTGCAAGCAGGCCACCACGTTTGCACGATTTTTTTAGCTTCAAACCAAGCTTTAGTCTCGTTACTAGTGTGAATGCTGGCGTTGTCTTGTTAGAAAACAAACTTTTTGCATCGATATTTGTTTCTAAATGGAATCAAACATGATTTTAGCACATCAATGTATTCAGAACTTTTCATTTTGCAAGATGTAAATGCTAAATTTAACTTTCCTGTTGCACAAAACCCAAGCCAAACCATCAAAGATCCACCACCGAAATTCCTTGTTGAAAAATATTTGGGTTCTCTCCTCAAATCACGCCAGTAGCCACTAAAACCATCAAGCCCATCAAGATTAAACTTTTTCTTGTCCGAAAAAATCACCTGGTATTGAAAACAAAAATATTCAGCTATTTAGACATCTTACGTATTCATGAGAATTTAATCTAAAATTTCTTACTTGTTCCACACATTGTACTTGATCGTACAATGTGTGGGCTGTCTTTAAGAACTTTCCTAATCGTCTCCTTGCAAACATTAAAACCCAAATCTGAATTAATTGTTTTTAAACTTTTTGATGAATTTGATGCGAGTTGAATAATTCTGCGTTTTTCACGACTTGAAACCTTAGATTTCTTTGGTTTCCTCTTGATTGTTGCATAATCTGCTGGATTTTTCAAGAAATTACGGATAACATGATCTGATCTCTTCAAGCTTCTAGCAATTTCTCGATTTGGAACTTTTTCTCGATGAAAAGCCAATATTTGACCTTTTTCAATATCGGTAAGGACCTTCCCTTTCGGCATTTGGTTTAGTTCAACCTAATTTCAACTCACAAAATAAAAAATACCACAGAATATAAGAAATTTGCGAAAAAACTCGTAAAAACTTTAGTGCGTCTATAGAAAAATGCCACGTGAATATTAAAAATTTAATTATTTTAATACAATCAAGACAATTAATAATCAGATGCATAATGGATCATCGTTTTCTTACGTATACTTATTTAAAAGTACCGTTAGAACAATTTTATTACCACTGTAACACTGTAAATCCGCTAAATTCTACATGCATCTATAGAAAATGGTCGCAGTGTATAATAATACAAATAATATATATAATAATTATATACAATACGTTATAATAACTATAAATAATGTAGATATTATAAATATTATGGATAAATATATACGAGTATATTATATTAACATCATATAATTTATATATTTCTACTATAATAATACAAATAATATATATATATAATAACTATATACAATATTTTATAATAACTATAAACAATATAGATATAAATATTTTGGATTAATATATACGACTAATTTATAATAATACTATATAATTTATAATATATTCAATATATTTATAATATAATATTACTAGTAATATATATATAACTAGTATTTATTTCAAATAAATTGTAAAATAGGCTTTTCACAGAACTGTAACCTTTCCTTTTTCAAGGTCAACAAGCAATGGAAAAGTCCATACTTGATTTTCTTTAGTCTCATAGACCACATCAAACAAAGTTTTTTTTAAGTTAGGAGTTAACTTGTTTACTCGAAGAACTTTACCTATACACCAAAAGTATTTTTTAATGTCGATTTTCACTATTTTATGTTGAATAAATTTCCCAACAAGTTTGTTAACATCATTTAGAATAATAGGCAATATGTTTATTTTTTGTTGATTTGCTAATTGAGTCTTGCATTCTTTAATTTTTCACTTGACTCTTCTTTCTGTTTTGCAATCAAAATATCTCGTTCTTTTTTTTCAATAAGAATAACTCTTCTCTCGATGGGCTCTGGAAAAGTCCTTGTTCTAATAACTGATTGTAAATTCCTGAACAACTTACATTTTGTTAAGTCTATTCGCTTACTACCAAGCATTTTAGTTTTGCAAAAAGATTTAGGTTCACATTTAACTGCTCATAATATTTTTTTGGTTTTAAATGTGTCAACTAACAAAACATATTCATAATCTGCTTCTTTTGAGGTCAACCACACCTTCGTCCCCAAATTTAACAACTCCTTAACCGATTTAGCTTTTTTGAAGAAGGCTTTATCTTCAGCTGCTTTTTTAGCTTTATGCTTTTCAGACAATTTTTCACTCATTTCAAACTTTAATTCTAAATGGGGTTGTTTGTATTTATCTTTCATTTTACTAAAGTTTGTTGAAGCATTTTTTAGCAATGAATCACGTTCACCTAAAGTCTTTTTATCCAACCAGTCTAGTGTTTTGTTTTTGTACCACAAAGTATAAGCTTGTATAGTTTGTATTTTGGCATTAGGCTTTGTACAAATTAAAAGATCCAATACTGCAAAGTCTAACTTCTAAAATGTCACATATATCATCTAATGTTTTTGCTAATGCATTAATAGTACAATCTGCATCACTGCCAGCAATTTCACATAGTCCAAAAGATAAAGTACTTCCGTTTTTGGTAGTAACTTGGAAATTGTGAAAATGTCTATGATGTTTAGTGGTATCGTCACTATGAAGACAATTGCCCGAATTATTTTCTACAGTGTTTATCATTTCTTCTGCAACTTGAAGTAGAGCAAGTGCTAATACCTAAGTCATAAATCAAGATTTTGTACCAATTGAGGGAAGCTTCTTTATATCTACCTTTGCTACTTTTTTTAAAATAATTGTGATTACTTCATTAACTTTGTTCATGCTGACATTCAAAGAAACTAACTCCATAATAACTTCTCTTATATCATTAAAATACCTTCCATTTTGAAATGTTACAATTTTGCGATCATAGAGAAGACAACTTAAACTAAAATCTTTATTTTCTTTGCTTAATACTCTAGTGTTAGGAGAGTCAGTATTTGAACTATTAGAAGAAAAAATTTCATGTTTATTTACTACCATGCTAAACTTCTTGTTTGTATAATACAATTTTTTGCATGTAATTCTTTTTTTCTCATGAAGGAGTGCAATTTTGTTGTCAAGCTTACCTAACAAAATTTTACCTTTTTATTAAGATTTGTAATGACTTTATTATAGAAATCTTTTATTTCCTTATTTTGTTTCTTTTTTAATTGACGAATCTTTGCTTTATTACTTGCATGCAATAATTTATATGCCCTTTCTGGGTCGTTAGATGTAATTGTTTTATTCATTTTACTAATACAAACTTTACCAGATTTGAACTTATTTTGACAATCAGATAAAGGCTTTATCCATTATTATATTATTTATATAAGCTCAAATTGTTTTCAGTTACTGAAAAAATTTGAGCTTGTACAACAAAGCTTAAATTTTTTTAGATTATGATAAGGCTAATTTTATACAAATACTGTTTTATACAATTAAATTATTATACTGTTTTTGTAAATAAGTTACCGAAATAATTTTTAAAATAATATTAAGACGGACTAAAAGGAAGAAGAGGATGGGATTTAGCAAGTTTCAACTTAAATTTAAAATATAAAGTGAATATCCGCTTCTAATATTAGCAAAAACTTAGTTTTTTCAAAGTTATTTTAGACCAACTTATTCATCATAAAACCACAAAAATAAATAGTAAAAAAAATAAAAAAGGTTGTTTATTATTTTAAAGGATGCTAGAACGCAAATAAAATAATTTTTACCTAAAATAATTACAAAAACTTAACTAAAATTGCTCCTACAGCCAGATAAACTTTTATTAAAAATTCTAGCAGATATATTATAAAAGATAAATCATTTTAGTTTTCGTCAAACGTTTTACTGTGACATTATAGGTTAAAAAAATCGGTCTAAATTTTATCTGAAAAAGTCCTCTTTATATATAAAAAAAACTTCGAAAATTTTGTCTACGGAATTTGTCACGTGATTGAAGTGCCTACTATAACCGTCAATGTTAAAATAAGAACAATTGTTCTTATTTTAACATTGACAGAAAGAAAAATGCTAATTATAACTGACAAAAAAACTGAATGAAAAGTTAAAAGAAAAAAAAATTTAAATAAAGTTTTTAGTTTTAATAAAGTTTTCATGCGCCAAGAAAATTTTAGAACATTTATTTAAATTTAGGATCATATTTTTTAATTTAATTTTCAAGGATTTTTGATTATCTAGACTACAAATTGTTTTTACGTTCTATTTTGTTGCATAAGGAAGCATGATGATATAAAAATTGAAAATCGGTAGAGTTTTTTTTTAAAAAGCTGTAATAAAATTTCTTGTTTTTCTTGTGTTATATTTATTAATGTTATTTTAAACAAATTACTTATAAAAGAATATGGTACCTGACTATGTATATCGGTATGAACGATGTATTTTGGTATATGTTAATTTTGTAAATACTTATTATTCAATGCGTAAAATTGGGGTACAGCGTGATCGTAAATTTGTCTATATGGTAAACTAATCATGCGTGTTAATAACGTTTATTGTACTTCCTTTTCATGGCTTTTATATTTCAAGCTTTTTTTTAACTTGTCTTTTTTAAACGTATTAGTTGTCACTTAGAAAAAACTAATGTAACCTCAACATATGTTAGTGAAGTATGGAATTGTAAATTTTAAATCTTTTGAGCAGTTAGCCTCTGACTTATTTGATAAAGGTCAACTTGAGTAAAATTATTAAGATTTAAAACTAAATTTAGGTTGCAAAACCGTGTTGGTCTACTAATAATGAATGCAGACATAAAATTACATTCAATGAAAATGTTGTCGTTTTGTGGAAAAAGTTTTTATTTACTTCTTAATTACTACTTAAATTAACGTCGCCATTGAGCAACAGTTAATATTGTTTAAAATCATTGTAGCGATGTAGCTCAAACTTCCTGAGCAACAAAACCTAGAAGTGTATTGTACATTTCCGGGTTGTTTTATAAATTTATAAAATGCGGTTCAAAAGAATATTTTTGATCTTTATTTTATTTTAAAGCAGCATTTTTTTTAAAAATATAAAGTTTATAAAGATAAAATACCTTGGTTCTCCTAAAAACCATAAAGTTGTCACGCAAAGTTTTTCCCTTTAACGCAACCAAACGGCAATTATTTTGAGATAAGATAGTTTAAGTTTCGTAAAAAAAACTTTTTGCCTTTACGTTTTTTGCTTTAATACACTGAACCGATCAATGTAAGACTATTTTGGGGCTATTTTTGTTTCCAGGCTTAAATTACCACGATATTTTGCAAAAAAGTTCTCTATTTTGACATTAGCATCAACATATTTAATTATTTAATTAATGGATCATACCTTATACTAATAAAATATCCTACTACTGTTTAAATATGTTTCAAAGAAATTCAAAAGAAAACGAATGGACAATCTATTGTTGTCCATTCGTTTTCTTTTACATATTCTACGTATTTAATTTTCATTTTAGTGGTACTCCATATTTCATTTTTTCATTCTTTTTTTTTTTGTTCATGAGTAGTATTAATAAAAAATGTCGAGTATATTTATGAGTTATTTGAATCACTTATTACTGTTAGTTATTAGTTTAATTTTGATTAAATGATTTATTTGTAATTATGTTTTTTTTGTTTTTGTTTTTTCTTTTAAATATTATATACATAATTAATATAATTAAATAGATACATAATTGGTTATTTTGTTGTTTTTTTTGTTTACGTTAGCGAAGCCCATGGTACACACAATATGGATGGGCTTTATTCTCAACTTTGTCGCATATGTTGAGTGTTGGGTACGGACGTTCAGCTCCATTGATTTTATCAGAAGCTATTGTCATAATTTTTTCTATGGTAACGGGTGCTACATTCTATGCACTATTTATAGCTCACTCTATGGCATACATTGCTCAAAATGACTCTTCAAAAAATTCATATAAAGAAAGGGTAAAGTAACAATTTTTTAACTAGGTATAAATAACTACTAAGGATAAATTGTTTTAAAATATTGTTTATTTATAATATTTTTTCATTTAAAATATTATTTATTCAAGTCGGTAAATAATTAAATAGTAAATTTAAACTTAGCATTGTTTAGTAAACTTATTTTTGTATATTATATTTATTATTAATTTACATAAACAATAAAACTAACGTATCGCAATATTGTATGTTACTATTTTTAAAAATATTTAATAAAAAATAATATTTAATAAAAATTTAATATAAAATAAAAACTCTCGAGTTTGTACGTATAAGGAATTCAAACTAATCCACAGCAACTTAATTTATATGTTTATAACATCATATATTTATATTTAAATATTTATAGCTAAATTTATAACCTATGTTTATTTATATTTCACTGAAAATTTCCTAATTTTGTTTATCAATTTTTCTGTCAAATAAAACTAATTAACATATTTAATAAAACGGTTTAGGATATTATAAAGACGACAGTTTATAATATTGCCTACACTGTTAAAATATTTGCCGTTGATTCATCGGAGAAAATCAGGCAGCAAAGAGACAGTAATTTCTCCCTAAAATTAGGAGTTTCCATCTTTCATTTTAAAAATTAACGGAAAAAGTCATTGAGCAAAAGAGACAGAACTTTCTCCGTAAAATTTACCATTTTTTTCCCCCATAGAATCGTATTGCTTTTTATGCAGAATAACTGATAAAGCATTTGCCTTGTTGCCAAAGCAACACTTTAATAAAGTCTACGAGCTATTGGAAAACATTAATAAATTTTTAGAGTTTATACGTTGTTATAAAAATATAATTCAAATATTAAAAGGTTTCTCGTGAAATAATTATAATTTATAACAACATAAATGTCAAACAAAACATTTAAAGACTGAGGATACTTTTGCTTTAAGAACTTTTTTTTTTAATGTTAGTTCACCTCATCAAGACCCAGAAAACCACTACAGATGAGGAGGCTATTTAGTTGTTGTTATAACCCTCTCTCGACTCTATAAATTAAACACGAACCTTCACAAACAAGGCTGCTGCGCGGAGAAACAACTTAAGAGTGGTACTACCAGGGATGATTGCGCATTAGCATGTAGAAATAAAAGCTTCAGTATAGATGAAATTTCAGCAGTATTTGTTATTTAAGTATTTATTATTAATAATAATTTTGTATTAAGTATTTATTATTAATAATAATGTTAATTGTATTAAGTATTTATTATTAATAATAATGATAAAATAATTTTGTCTAAAAACTGCTAAAGTTTCCATACAACCAAATTTTACCTTGTATTTCTATTTTATTACTATATTATTATTATCTTTAAGTTAAAGATATTAATAAAATAATTGTAAAATAATAATTACTGCAAACCACAAAATTTTATTTCTGCTAAAACTGCTATTTCTACATCTACATCATATTATTTTAACATAACATAAATTTACAATAATAAAGTAAAATTTAACAAGCAAACTGAAAGGGAACAATACCTAACAAAAGACATCTTCTTAATCCCTAATTTTTAAATTCAATATAATGCACAATCAAAAAAGTTACAATTTATTGTATATTTAGACATTTCAAAACCATATTTGGAGCACAAAGTTTTTTTTGTTTTGAATTTTTTGTATTTAAAAAAAAAAATTTCACAATAATAAACTTTATACAAAAAATATTTTATAATAAGAAATTTACATCAAAAAATTGTAGTTGTTGAAGTCTGGGTACAATGAAAAACCCAAAACTTGTGCCACCTTACTCTATGTAAAGACAATAATTTACTTAGTTAAATACTATTTAAACCAAGTTTCGTTAAATAATATTTTAGTGTTTGATAGTTGTGACCATGTGAAGTTTCCAAATCCCTTAGAATGAGAGGGTTAAAAACTTTGCATAGTCATAACATTTAAATCCTAAAATAAAATTACTTTATATAATTATACTAAATATATAAAGTAAATTATTATCCTCATATTTGGGGTAGGAGGGAACGCAAGTTTTAGACTTTTGTTACTCTCTGATTCAAATCACTGCAACTTGCAAAGCACTCTTTTTCAAAATAAGCATAAACATACACCTGAAGTTTGCTTCATGTCTGAAATTCAAGTTTTATGTTATTTTCTTTTATATTATACTTTTCTATTATATATAATACTTTTCTTTTGTATGTTATACTTTTCTCCTATTATTGAAATTGATAAAATTAAAATTGAAGAGATCGTAAACAATGTCAATGCTATGGCAAAGTTTGATATGATGAAATGTTTAATTAAAATGGATTAAATACATACACCTTTGACTATTGTATGATTTTTTTTTCAATGAGAAAAATGTCGTTTCTATTAATCCATAGTAGTAAAACATGCCACACTGGTCAAAGGTACAAACTGTGTATTTTTGTAGCATCTTTTATCTCAATTCATGTGTAACAAAAGTTTATAAATTACATAAACAACAAATAGTTTTTAACAAAAATAAAACTACAATATATATTGCGTAGACTAAAATTTTTGTTTTTTTTTTTACCCAAAAATAACTATTTAGTTCAAGAGTAAAATTAGGATAAAATAATAATGCAAATAACCTTTGCTTTACATTGAAGCTCAAAATCAGAAAAAAATTTACAGGATAAATTTTTTTTTAATAACTCTTTTCGTACAGTTATATAAAAAAACTTTATATAAAACGAGGAATAGAAAAAACGGAGAACTATAATTTAAATTAAAAAAAAACAACAAAAAAAAAAACTATGGTTTAATTAAAAAATAAAGAACTTATTTAACAATAAACAACATATTCAAAAAAATATTAATTAGTTTATTTTTTCAAACATTTATAGTAAAAAAAATTTAATAAAAAAAAACCTTCATAAAATTCTGGTTCTTTTGAGACATAGGATGATATTTTTTGGAGAAAAATTTGTATACAAATAAGATATTAGTTTTAAAAAAATACATTAAATAAAATTTTTTTGAAGATAAATTGTTTACCCATTTTGAAAAATACAGTTACTATTTTTTTTTATTTTTAGTATCAGCAAATCAAAGAGTATATGATATTTCGTAACTTACCATTGAGTCTTCAGGAGCGTGTTTCCAACTACTACGAACAAAAGTACCACCACGGACGATTTTTCGACGAAGAAATGGTTTTATCCCAAGTATCTCCACCGTTGAGAAAAGTGAGTTCTTAAGGATGAAGTTCGGTATAAATTAAAAATAATTTGTTAATAGATTTCTAATAATTTATTGCATTAAGAACATTGAGCACTTTAAAATGTAGAATATATTTAAATTATTTGTATATATGTATATATATATATATATATATATATATATATATATATATATATATATATATATATATATATATATATATATATATATATATATATATATATATATATATATATATATATATATATATATATATATATATATATATATATATATATATATATATATATATATATATATATATATATATATATATATATATATATATATATATATATATATATATATATGTATATATATATATACATATATATATATATATATATATATATATATATATATATATATATATATATATATATATATATATATATATATATATATATATATATATATATATATATATATATATATATACATACGCACACATTACTACATAAATATTTTTTCATTTAAAAGGAAATCATAAATTATTGTTGTCATGATCTTGTAAAAAATGTCTCTTTCTTCAAAGTTGGCTCCCCTGAATTTATATCTGCTGCCATTCATGAGCTATCGTTTGACGTTTATTTAAGTAGTGATATAATTTGCAAAGAAAACAACTTGGCAACTGAAATGTTTTTCATACGAAAAGGAAAAGTAGAAATTGCAGTTGGTGGTAAATTCATAGAAACACTAAATGCTGGAGATTATTTCGGAGGTAACATGTTTTTACCAAAATAAATGTTTAATACCTTAAAATGAAAAATTAAAAAAAAAAATAGTTTGATGATTTCCTCATAAAGTTTCTTGACGAACTCAAATAAGAGGAACCTTTCTAGATTCTATATATTGCAATCAATTTTTGAGTGCCTTTGCACTTTTTAGGTATAAATTAGAACCAAAACAAAATCATAAACTTTTTATTAGCAGTGATCAACTTATTTTTCAGTAATTTTTTAAATATTTGTATAATGCATTTATTTAAAGTTTTTTGTTTTCTAGAAATAAGTTTGCTCACAAATGGTCGTCACATTGTTACAGCAACAGCTCTAACTACCTGTGAAATGTTTACACTCGAAGGAAATTGCTTTAAACGTCTTCTGTTAGAGCATCCTGAAATGAAACCTATAATTGAACATGCAGCTATAACACGAACTGTTCATATTCTTAATGAGGTATGTTAAACTTTCATGCATACACGCAGAAAAGTAGTTAACTCCTGGAATTATAAAATAATTTTAATGACATTCTTAAAAATTATTTAAACTATTTCGCAAGTATTTAAGCTATTACGCAAGTATTTAAGCTATTACGCAAGTATTTAAGCTATTACGCAAGTATTTAAGCTATTACGCAAGTATTTAAGCTATTACGCAAGTATTTAAGGTATTTGTTTTTTTATCTTATGACCTTATTTTTATTATTAAAACTAATTCAAACTTTTTAATAAAAATTTTTACTTTTTGTTATTATATGAGTTTTTAGCCGTCATCAAGGATTAAAGTGCTGGTTTGCATTTTGAGTATTAATACTCAAAATGCAAACCAGCAATTACTAACTAAACCAACATAATTACTAAACATAATTACTAAATAATTACAACATAATTACTAAACATAATTACTAAACCAACATAACTAACAATTGTTAGTTATGTTGAACACAAGTTTTCATATTAACTTAAATATTAAAAAATTGATAAAACTTTTTTTGATGGGTTTATTAAACTTTTTTGGACTTTAGCCTATATTTAAATACTTGAGAGGATTTAGGTCCATTTGAGCTCTTCCGAGTTTAGATGTGCGTGCTAATTTAGTTAGTAGTACCTACATCATGGTTCCTTATGCGCAAAATCACACGAAAAAAAGTAAGTACGCAGATATATTATAAAAGCATTCTTGAAAGAAAAAGTAGTGTACATGAGATTTCTCTTTTTTTTTCATAATAAAGACATTGACTTTGCTTTATATAAAATTTTTTAAATAATTTTAAATCTAAACTTTTAATATTTATCTGTTTGTGTTATAGAATTGTAACTTGTAAAATAGAAAAAATAAATTTAAAACAATTTTTACGTAGAGTGCCAAAGCTCTTAAAGGCGCTATTAATCAATTTATACATGTATATTATTTATTATCTTATTTAGCATACACAATAGAACTTTAAAGAAAATTACTTCGTTTTATTTGTTTGAACATTTTCAAATCCATTTCTTTAACGCAATTGTTTTTTTTTTTTAAGAAGGGTCAAAATTTATTTTGATCCTTCTGATCCCCAAAGTTTAAAAACTGGATTGAAACTTTTTGACAAAAATTTTTTTTACCTGGGCCACGTATATCATTAAGTGATAGCCACACTCGATTTATGGAATGACTTAAATGTGTGCCTAAGTGGTTATGGTATTTATACCACATAGATAGTAGCCACATATGAGCCATAAGTGGCTATAACACTTATACTACCTAGCTATTATAAATAACATTTCCACCAACATACAGGTCATCCCATACAGGGCCAACATACACGTCATCCCATGAATTGAGTGTGGCTATCAGTAAACATGATGATGAGTAAAGTAAACATGATGATGATAAAAAATTAAAGGTTAGTGAGTTTATTTACATATGTAAATTTTAAATTATTTCTATGTAAATTAATTATTTTAAAATATATACTACGGTTACAACCTTTTATCTTCTTTGATATAAAGTTAAATAAAAAATCATTGGTTTAATTTTCTTATTGAAGAAGGTTAAGCACCAGGTCAAGCACTATCTATCAAGTAAATCTTTGATTTACTTGATAGATCATAAATATTGAACCAGAATTTTATAGAGATTTTAGAATTTCAATATTTTTATTTAAAACATTATAAAGAAAATATAATGCTACAAAATATTTAAAAAAATGACTATAAAAATGTTCGAAATTGTTATTTTTTTTGTATATAAAATAAAAATTTTTAAGTTTTATTTATAACTATTATTATTTTGGAAATCTCTATAAATTTTGATTCTTATAAAATCCAGGCTTATAAACTTTTGCAGAAAAAGAATTTCACTAACTTTTACATTTTTAATGAAATAAATATAAAATTTTAAAATATATAGAACCTAACAAGTGACCATTATAGTGCTTGGTCTTTTTCAAAAAGGGAATAAACAATGTACGTGTAGTTACTTTCAAATCAAGTTCACTTAATTTTTATACAGAAAACAGGGGGTATCAAGAAGTCAAAAAACTCATGTATACACTAAAAAAAATTGTACTCACTATTTGGGTTGTCTAATAGGGCTGGTCATTATTTTACTTTTTACAGTATATTTTTAGGCTTTATGAATTTTAAATGTGTTGGTTCTTATATAAAAATAATGCAAAAAAATAAACAAAAACTTGGGTTAAAAATTTGGTATACGCGGTTTACCACAAAATAGTTACCCACATTAAAATTACCCACATTATGAGATGTTATAAAATACGTTCTGCGAAATCCGAAAATAATTCTGAGTACACAAGCAGAAAAATTTCTAAAAGCTCATTGAATATTAAAAATAGAGAAACTGCTGTATTTTTATCACTAACTTTGGAAATAGCTAAAGAGGCTTTCTCAATGTTCTTAGTCTTAATGTCTCTCTCAATGTTCTCAGCCCGAATAAATGGAAACGAGGTTCAGAATTTAAAACATCTTTGACAGTTAAGTGAAGGTGAATATTTTGTATTATGATTTGAAATTAAGGTAAAAAATTTTAAAATTAGTTTGATAATCTATTCCATTTTGTTGTGAAAAACTTATCAATAAAAAAATGTTCAGGTAAAAAGACCATATTATATTATCAAACATCTGGAAATGGTCCGAAAAATGAACTTAAATATTCAGCAAACAGTTTTCCCTATGTTTATTTCTCTGCCTAGAATGTTTACATTAAATCCATTCTCCAAGCACTACTTTGTTACAAAGATAAAGAAGCGTGGATAATTGCAGTAAAGACAATATATTGTCTTTACTGCAATTATCCACGCTTCCTAGAGAACTTAAATTTCTTATTAAATGTATACATTTAATAAGAAATTTAAGTTCTCTAGAAAGCGTGGATAATTGCAGTAAAGACATTTAATAAGAAATTTAAGTTTTCTAGGAAGTACTGGTAGTTGATAAAAAAAAAGTTCTAAAAAGTAACACTGGTGCTTAGACTATTATGAAACTGATTGATTGCAGTAAGGATATTTACAAAACTTTTCTTATATGCAAGATTAGTAAAAAAAGCTTGTAAAAGTTTTTAAAAGTTCCGATAAAAATTCCAGAATTTGTTTTATAAGAAAATAAAAAGTATTTTAAAGAAAGTTACTAGAGCTTCTAGCAGGTAATAATGACTCGAGAAAATATTTTCCTAGTCCTGTTTCTGTAGAACCTAAACATAATTTAGTTTAAGTTTTTTAGACTATAAGTTTTAGCTTTATTGTATAGTTGAATAATTAAGGTATCCACCTTAACTATTCAACTATTAACCACAAAAAAAAAAAAAATTTCAGAATTGTAACAAAACTTTAAAAACCACCATTTGTTTCAGATAAGTACATATATTTCAGAAGTACAGAACTAACACCCACTTCAAGCAAACAAAAATTTTGTAACAAAAACATTTTTTGGACATCGAGACCATACATGCTATATATATATATATATATATATATATATATATATATATATATATATATATATATATATATATATATATATATATATATATATATATATATATATATATATATATATATATATATATATATATATATATATATATATATATATATATATATATATATGTGGTTATTACATTATTCATGGTAAATTCATACAAATGACTAATAAATGACCAATTGGTAAACACTGCAGCCTAAAAGCAATAAGTAATGATTTTTTATGTTTTCAATTGGTTCTATTTGAGTTGTTGGTTGAAAAATCTTTTGAAACTGTTTTTCTATAATACAGTCATATAATATTGATAGGCAAGATGTTACAGCAAAAATGATCTTTGTAAACTTATAAGTTTTTAAGCTGAAATGATCTTGGTGTCTAAAATGTATATCTAGCATTCATTGACAATTTTTTTTGAGTCACCGGTCATTAGTTACGCGTTCACCGCGTTTTTCAGCTAAAACCTCGGTTTTTGAGGTTACAATTTAAAAAATTTTAAAAAAAATCCTTTTTTTAAACATTATTTTTATATGACTAATACGTTCAAAGTTCATATAGCATAAGAATTTACTAGAAAAGGTTGAAACCCTATTGCCTAACTTAAAGCATTGAAATTCTTTACTTACAAAGTTTACTTGGAAGAGTAAGTCATACCAAAAACCAGAGTCACTAAAAACTTATAATCTCTCATTAAGTTTCCAATTGAATCAGCTTCACTTTTGTTTTGTGGATTTTTGGAGGTTTTTGATTCACCTATTTGGAATCTTACTGCTTTAATACTTTAAATCCGACATTCTGGTATCACAAATTGGTTTCACAGTAAGCTCTTTCACATATTTAAAAAGCACCAGTCATCTTTTTGTAGATGCCAAAAATAAAACATACAGAAGTTGAAGAATACCGAAAAATGTTATAGCATCTGGGCAAATTTTGGCTATATCTCCTAATAGATGATTGCAATTATGACATGTGCAAGGTGTAAAAAATGCTCTTGAATTTTCTTTTAGCAATCTAGCCTGAACCCCTGAAACCTTTCCCTTCATGTTAGAACCGTTATCATAGCCTTAACCTCGAATGTCATTAATGTTGATTTAAATTTGAAAAATTGAGACAACTTAACATAATAAAAATAAAATTGTTCTTTATCTAACTGTTTATATTAAAATTTTGTCTTGTGTAATCAATCAACTACGTTGCAAAAAATATTTACAATCTAAATTAAACCTTTTAGAATGTTTTCCCAAAAAAAAAAGGATTCAGCCCAATATTAGATATTTGCTGCTCACTGCAATGAAAAAATGGAATTTTATTCTGCAAAGACTTGTTCTAGGAAAAAAAACGTAAATAGAATAGTTTATTCATTGCGTGCACTTGCACATCAAGGTTTTTCAGGATTAGAAAAATTTACATTTTTAATAAACATTCCTAAACCTATGACTAAAAATAATTGAAACAAAATAATTAAATTTCTCTCTGATTGTGCTAAAATTGTCGCAAAAGAAACAATGATTGATGCTGTGAAAGAAATTTGTCAACCTTCTTCAAATGTTGTTGACACAGCAGTATCAATTGATGGTAGCTGGCAACGTCGTGTGTTTTCTTCATTAAATGGAGTTGTTAATGCAGCAATATCAATAGACACAGATAAAATTCTTGCGAGCCAATGAGTTGGTCATATGAAACTAAAAATAATCCTCGTGCATTTGAAGCTCGGAAGTCATCACATGTATGTAAATTAAATTATCGTGGCTCCTGGCATAAAAGTAATTGGTGCACAAAGATTATTTAGTCGTTCTATTTCACGAAATAAACTAAAGTATATTAATTATTATGGTGATTGCGATTGTAAAAGCTATTGTTATGTTAAGGGTACTTATCCTGGTATAACAGTGCGAAAAAAACCGTTAAAAGAATTGCTATAATTGACCGCCTACAAAACCACAATGGAATTGCTGTTAGGCAAAATGCCAATGATTTAGAAAGTATGAAAAAGGTCACACTTACAACACTGTTCCACATCCTCTTTGCTCCATCATGATGGAACGAAGAGGATAGTGACAATTTGTACTTGTAAAGAATGTTATTGAATGAAAAGCTTTTGTTATGATAATTCTGATGCAAGCTACTGATGCATCAGTAGTTTAAACTTAGTTATTCCAAATCACCACTCTGCTAAATATGGAAATAAATCCATTAAATATCAATGTATTAGCTCTGGAACAAACTATCTCCTAAAATCTCTTAATTTAATCTCTGAATTCAAAATCAAGCTTTTTAATTATTTGTTAAAAAAAATACAATTAAATATTTCTACAAATTAATATTGAAATTTTTTATTATATCTATCAATTCGTGATACTTCAGTTTTGATATTTTTAACATTTTGAAGTTCTTTACTTATCCATCTACATCTAATTCCTCTGGTTTTCTATCTTTCATTTTTAAATTTTTTTATTAGATTTTTCATTCTAGTATTATTAATACTGGTACTAATATTTTGAGATTCTTTATTTATCTATTTATTTATCTTTTTTTCATTCAACTATTCTCTACTTCTTACTAAATCTAATAAATCATATGAGATCAAGTGTTTAACAATAAGGGGAATTATCTACGCCAGCCTAATAGATGAAGAAGGGATGCGAGGCTATCAACCGAAATTTTCTGTTTACCCCTAAAGATTTTTTACAAGACATTACTGTATGCAATTAACATTTGCCCAGCATGAGTATTTTTTATTAAGACACTATCTCTAAACTTTACTCAACTAAATATTAAATTTTTTGTTTCAATACAGAAAATAGGTTTTCTCCTGTACTGCTTTCTACATTTATAAATTTAATAAACTGTTCATATATATTGGCACTTGAACCTGGTAGTGTACCGTCTGAAACATATCTAAGGCCAAGAGACATTTTTTTTTTATGACTAATGTCTGGAGTAAAGTCAAGAATAACAGCAGAATACTTTCCTTTTTTTGTTCGTTCTATAATTTTATTTTGAATTTTACTGCCTTTTAACATTTATAAGTTTGGATTGTTTTACTTAGATAATGTTCATTAGTTGTTTTATTGACAATTCGCTGTAGATGGTCCTGCATTATTGGATCAAATTTTCCAAGTAACTCAAAATAACTATAAAATTTCCATTTCTTGCATTACCTTGTTTTTCAACAGATCCTCGAAATGCTATATTGCGCTCAGCTAAAACTAAACCACAGAAAATAGTCATTCAAAAATTTTATAACAACGAATTTTTTATTGATTGAGCAACTTTTGCTGCACTTTGTCGATTGTTTGTTCAGCAGACAGTCTTTTTTGAAAATGTGTACATTTTAACATTGTTATCAAATGATTTTTCAAGTTTTCATGTAATGGTAATCTTTTGTAAATATTTTACAAGTTTTTAAATCCAGAAGTAGTAAGTGCACCAAATGGTACTCCTACAATAAATAGGTGACAATAAAAACAAAATATTCTGTAATTTGACTCAGAGTATATTACCCACGGACGAACTTTCATTTCTCCATTTGAAAGCTTTCTTTTCAAATGCACTTTTGATAAATGTCTTCTATCGTTTTGACAGGGAAAATCATCTGGAAGATTTTTTGGTGGTTCTTTCTTAACTAAATAGTTTCTTATTTGTTAACTAATTATCTCGGGTCAAGTTGCAGGATCATCTGTTACACTCAGCTCTTCATCATAATATTCATCTTTACTCCCAGTCGAATTTGGTTGAATTGTTTCTACTGTAATGTTTAATTTAAGATTCTATAATTGGGCATCTTGTTTATTATCTTTGGCAGTATTTTCTTCTATATCATTGTCATTAATTTTATTTTCATCTTTACCATAATTTTTGTTTTTATCTTTTTCATCTTTTTTGTAATTTTTGTTTTCATTATTTTCTTTTTCATCTTTTTCATTAATTTCTTTTGGATCTTGATCATTATTTTCGCCAGGATCTTTTTCGTTTTGTTCATCTAATTCTTTGTCAGCATTGCTTATTTTAAAGTATTTATTCAGAGCACCTTTGAGTTTTTCAATATCTACTTTTCTTTTTGCAGTTAATTTTCTTTTGGTACTGCCACTTTTAAATTTTCTTCCTATATCTTTTCGTTTTGTTTGTTTCCACATTTTAACTAGATGATCTAGACAACAAAATAAAAAATGCCATGAGTTATGAGAAAAACACTTTGATAAAAAATATATATATATATTTTTAATTTTCAGTAAATAAGGAACAGTTTTTTTAAAATAACAAATATAAATATGTACGTTGTATTGATTGACAAGCTAGATTAACTCAAAGTTGACAAGCGATATTTGTGATTTGTGACCTTCGAACAATAAATTTGTTAAGACCATATAATTTGATTAGTTTCTTTCAGTTTTTCTAACGAAAACATCAATAAACGTTTTATTATCACGGCTCTGTATTTCTATAATTATATATACATTTTTTTAAGAAAACTTACTCGTTAATTGAATTCGTGCTTTGAATAGGAAATATTACATTGAGTCTATCAATACTCTAAATTCTTGATAATTCGTAAAATAAAATATTTTCAAATATATTTATCTAATAGTTTTAATACTGAAGTGCTCTAATATAATGTTCTAAAATTGACTTGAAAAAATTACTTGTGTTTTCTATTCTTTTTATAGCATTCTAATAATCTCCGCGAGGCCCTTTATTTGCGCGAGGCCCGATGCAATCGCTTCTCTCGCATCACCTCTTATCTGGCCCTGTTTATTCGTGTAATTGTTTCATCCTAATTTCTTTATAAAAAGTAAAAATACATTTGGAAATTTGTTTTGAAACAAATTACATTTTTATTATATCTTCTATAGCATTCGTTGTGTACATCATTTTTTATTTAAAATTTTACGGTTGTATTATTTATTTTAACGATTTAATTAATATCTATATATTTTTTCAACATTTTTGTTTATATTTTTGTAGTTTACATTTTTCTTACAACAAAAAATATTAATTATACTTTTATGTACTTTGCTTCGTTACTAAAATTATATTTGCATTATAGTGGCATCATCATTGCGGTGAATTGGCTGTTGATGTCAAAATAGATGAGCTGCAAAACGGCATTGAAGCATATATGAACAAATCACAAGAATTTGAAGTTGTTTCTAATAGAAACCGACGCTCAGTAATGAAAAATAATAATAAAACCGACGTAAATAACAATAAACCGCCCCTTATGCTTAAAAATGCTTTAAAAACACTCGGAGGGATTGTTAAAAATGATAAAGAAACAGAAGATGAAAACTTCAGTGCAATTAAAGAAAACATAAAAAATGCTATAAAACACCATAAGTTAACTCACGAAGATTGCGGTTTATGTAAAGATGCTGAGAAAAACGGAACGGAAATTAAACATTTCTAAATAGTATATACTATTAACTATTTTTAAAATTATAACAACTAAATTTGTAGTAAAAGTTTTTAAACTGTGATTTCTCTAATATCATTTAATAACGTATCCTCCCAGGAAAAAAAATTCTATAGAATTTCTATAAACTTTTGAAACAAATGGCCTATAGAAATTTTATAGAATTTCTATAGAATGCCTATTAGTTTGTAAAGAAATTTCTATAAAAGTTTTTTTCTATAAAAAAAAAAGGTAGAAAATAAGTTATTTATATACGATTTTAATTTATATACAAATTTAAATACGATTTACTATAAAAATTAACAGAGATTCTATAGAAATTCTATAGAATTTCTATCGGACATATGTTTTAAAAGTTAATAGAATTTCTAAACCTTTTTTGCTGTGCTCGCATATCATTAAAAATATATTTAAAAAAGATGAACCCAAAACAATATTTGTATGCTAGGCCGGCACGAAGGGATGGGGGGTGTGGGGTATGATATTTTTTTTCATTTAGTTGGCAAATTTGACCCTTTAGACAAGACAGTCGGCAAATGTTGACTAGGAACTCAGCAAATTTCAATAATTGTAATGACACCCCTCCCCTCTTCCAATACGTGACACATACTCGCGCCGGCCCTGTTTGCGTGGTTTTTAAAATTGCTTGATAATTAAAAAAATATAATTAAATACAATAGAACCAATTTATCAAAATACTATTTATGAACAAAAATCACACTAAAACTTTCTAACGTTCTAATTCTGGCTGATTTTCAAAAACACTAAAATCTTTAATCAAGAGTGGGATTGTCCTGTTATAGAACAAAAAATGTTATTTCAGCTTAGTAGTTTTTAAAACATTCAGTTTAAAATACACGAAGAAATTCACGATGCATCGAAAACATACTTAAAATCTGAATCCACCAGAGATTTACCAACTGCTTTCTTAACTTTAATAAATTTTTGAATTATGGCCAGCATTGAATTCCAACGAGTTTTTGAATCTAAAATAAGTACCAGCTCTAGTCCAAATTCACTTTTAGAATAACGTTTCAAAGTATCCATTTTTAAGAATAACGTTTCAAAGTATCCATTTTTAATGGAGATCTTTTAAAAGTTACAAAAATTTTACGAACTTTAACCAGAACCTTTATGAACAAGATCAGGAGCTCCGTCACTATTTTCATTTTCATCATCATCATCATCGTCATCATCATCATCATCATCATCATCATCATCATCATCATCATAATCATTATCAAAAACATCAAAATCATCTTCAATATCTTTTTCATTAGAAATTTGATTATTTTCAACTTTATTTTTATAAATTACATCAATTACAGTTAAATGTATTGGATGTGTAAAACAAAGTTGATATTCAGCAGGAGAAAAATTTCTTATTTTTCCATAACGGAAGCCCCATCTATTGCTATGCAAATCACATCACTGGAAAGACTCACATTAAACATGTCTAGTTTTTTGATAAGTAGTTTAAGGTAATAATTTGCATTATGCGACCCAATTATTCTCTCTAATCCGAGATTTATAAATCCAGTATTATAGTGAGGATTTTTATTCATAAGCCTTCAACCATATCTTGAATATTCATCCAAATCTATACTGACCTTGAATTCTTTTTTTTTTAATTTCAAATATTGTCTTTTTTTTTCTTTAACTATTTCGATATAATATTTATAGATAATGTTCATGACATCTGTTTTAGATTTTGGTAGACTGTAGCCTTTATCATGATTTGATCTGATTTAGCTATTGCACTTATGGAAAATCCATCAATAGCAGCAAATCTCCTAATGAAACTTTTTTTATTATAAAATCAATTGTAGATTAAACACAACTTTTTTTATTCAGCGGTTTATCTTCAAATTCTTTATTTAAAATGATATTGTGGATTTTTTCTAAATGTCTTTTCAACCTAACGGTGGTACCTTTGCCTTTGCATAATATTAATTTTGGACAGTGTTTACATTGTGCCTCATCAATTTTTTTTAGATCAAAATAACTCCGAACCTTAGAAGTTTTACGATTTGAGGACATTTTTATAACATTAATTAAAATTTTTGTCACACAGTGATAAAGTACAAGTATACAGTAACATTTAGTGATCTTCTAATGGTCCGGAAAACAAAAAAATATAATTTTGGCGGGAAAGTTAAACGATGTATTATATAAATCCATGAGTACCGAAAAAAATATCCCGGGATCCCGGAAAAAATTTCCCTGGATTTCGAATTTTTGGGTTATTTTTTTTCCGGGAATTTCCCGGGAACAAATTTCCGGGAACAATCCCTAATCACTACAAATATTAATGATTAAACGTCCTTTCGAATAATTGCTGTAGCTGTTTTTAAGATTCTAAACCGTTTTTCTTCTTTATTTTGGCTTTTCTTCTCATATCAAGAATATCATAATGATTGTCTATAAAACAGATGAATGTTAATCTGAATTTAATTTTGCTATTACCAATTTATTTTGAATTTATTCGTATAAGTTTGAGTTTAAGTTTATGTATTTCAGAAACCAATTATATATGCATGTATTAAATTTGTATATTTTGATGAGAAAGTGCTTCACCAGGCACTTCCTTGCTGAAAGAAAAGACACTCGTGTGACGGATCATTCATCTACATTGAATTTCAATTTGCAAACACTATCTTTGAACGAGTTGACTGATTCAGAACTTATGGCGTCTAAAGGTAATGTATTCCATACATTGACGATGCGATTAGTAAAGAAATTGAATCTTTCTTTGCAGTTTTTTACCATTTGACGTATAAGTCGAAGATAATGTCCACGCAAATTGTATTTGGAAATCGATAGTGCATAGATTTGAGGGTTCTCAAAAATGATTTGATCAATACCTTTTGAAAGTTTAAACTGTTGAATCAGATCACCTCGAACTCTCATTTTTTTAAGTTTACTTAAGCTAATTCTTTCTTCATATGCCAAGTGCTTTATTTTCGTGATTGTATTTATGCTTTACTAGCTATAAAATAGCAATGTCTTTTTCCTTGAGTGACGACCAAACCTGGATAGCAAACTCTAACTGGTGTCTAATATAGGTTTTGTAGAGTACTTTCCACAAAAAGAGTCCACGACTTCTAAATACTTTCTTTAGCCTACCAAGCTTACTGTTGGCTCTTGCTGCTGCTGATTCGACTTGATAGCTTACTTTAAGATCGTCTGATAGAAGTACTACCAGATCATGTTTGTGTTTATCTTAAATGTTCTTTATCTATATTTGGAGTTTTTCATATCTATACAATAATGCTGAACTTAGTAGTAGTGCCCATTTGTGCGTGTTTAACACTTGGCAACCATTGCAACCGAGGAAATGACGATAAAAAGTCGTAGCACTTTTTTTATAAGAAAATGTTAACGAACGTGTTTGCAAATATCTAACTTATGTAAATTTCAAATTATGTAATGTTAAAACATCAAGTTTTACAGTTTTACTTTTACTTGAAAATTGCGGCAATAAAATTTTTAACTTTGATTTATAGTATTTATTTACCGTTCTTTAAAGTCTTTTGTCAGTGAAATAGTGTTAAAACTTTTATCAAACAATACGCCTTAGCGGCCGATTTGGTTAACTTGTAGCGAAGTAAATTGCCGTGGTTCAAATCCTTGCACTGCCACACTTTTTTTGTTTGTTGATCTTTTGCGATTTTTTAAAATAAAGAATAAAACATTTTAAAAAAAAAACTGATATTGTATACATAACGTATATAAAGATAGGATAGGGCGGGGTAATGTTAGTCTAAGGGGAAATAAAGGTCTAATCAACATTTATCAGTTTTTCAGAAGAAAGGTTTAAGGTAAAAGTTTTTTCTGTATGTTATAGGAGGTTCAAAAAGCTCTTTAAGTTTTAAATATCAGCTTACTACTCGATGTAATTAAGGTGATTTTTATTATTTATAGCTATTGTATAATATTTTGCTCACTAAAACATATTTCCGTTAAATGATCAGGTCTGTGAATCATGAAAAGACAAAAAAAATTAAAATGATAAATTTTGCTGTAACATAAAATAAAAATGTTTGCAGCGAAAAAAACACAGATTGAAGATTCTTTTTAAAATCTTCTTAAAATTACGATCGCTTGTTCAAAACTTGGATAAGATTTTAAATAAATAAGCTAATTAGATGAAACGAACATCATAGTTTAATAATATAATCTGTTCTGATAGTACAGTGGTGGCCAAAAGTCTTGGAACAAAACATTTAACGACCAAAAAAAATTTATTTTTGAATTAAAGTATAAATTTTGAAGGTTTGATGCTTTTGTTTTTACATAGCAATATGTTTATAGTTACATATTTGTATATTGCGCAATTTATTATTGTTTTTTATTATTCATAAGCAATTTATCAGCTATATTATGCCAGAACTTTCACCTAAAAAAAGAGGAATTACTGCTGCATTATATGAACAAGGTTTAGTTCTAAGAGAAATATCTGAAAAGCTTGGTTGTTCATTATCAACTGTAAGTAGAACTTTAAAAAGGCATAAAGAAGAGCCCCAATTAAATTTTACTTCAAAGATGAGATCAGGCATTTTGTCAGCGCTAAAAAAATTGGACTGGAGAAAATTGGTCTAAAGTTCTTTTTTCTGATGAAACATGTATTAAACAATTTAATGTTACAAACAACTTTGTAAGAAGACCAAAAAACTGTAGATATATGCCAAAATATACAGTTAGCAGTGTCAAGGCTCCTGTGTCTTGTATGGTTTGGGGTGCTATTTCTGCCATTATGGATAATGCCCAAGAATACCACAATAAACAGCAAAGTCTATTTGGATGTTATGAAGGAGAAGTTGCCACCTTTCATGCAAATCTTGAACTGCACTTATTTCCAACAGGATGGTGCACCATGCCACACAGCCAAAATTGTAAAGAAGTAGTTTGCTGATGAAGGAATTCAAACCCTTGAAAATTAGCCTGGGTCATCACCAGATCTTAATGTTATTGAAAATTGTTGGCATATTATGAAAGTAAAAGTTGCTGCCAAAAAACCTAGATTCTATAATGATTTATTTAAAGCAATCAAATTAGTGTGGATCCATGAAA